AAAAATACTGATGTTTCCAACTGTAATGACAGTCTTTATTGTCTTTTTTCACCCAGGCTGTCTTGACTTTCTGTACCTTGTTGCAGGGTACCTTGCCTTGTTGATTTGTGTTTTCATGTTTAAAAACAACAGTAGGCTTGGGAGTAGATTTTGTTTTTACTGTGTACGTTTTGAATCCACTTTTATCAGGTGTACCAACATCCCTGGGAACGTTGGTTCAAGAGTCGCTGCCTTTGAAAATCAAATGTGACATCAAGAATTCACCTTATAGTTCAGCTCTGACTCGTTTCATCAACCTGAACTTCCACCTTTACCTGTTTTGCTCCTGGTCCTCCCTGCAGGAGGCCTCTTGACCTTTCCTCTTACTGGCTGTCGAGTTGTCTCCAGACTTTCATCTCTTCGTGTCTCAGCAGGATGGATGAATAGATATTAGAGCGAGCTGACAGCGGAGAGCAGAACCTTGCTGGACAAACTCGTCATCTTAGATTCCTCTTAACAACTTTTTCTCATGCCTCTATTCTCCTATGTCACCGCTGTCATCCTTGAATTTCCCCTGACCTCTCATACACTCCCTTCCTCTCCCCGATGTCTCTGTCTCACCCGTGCGTCCCCCATCTTCTCCACTTGTATCAGTGTCTCCACAGCTTGGCTGCAGGCAGTGCTCAGGGTTTTGGACGCAGCCCACAGCTTGAGGAGTCACTGGGTCCTAAGTAGAGCTAAGCCCAGCTTCTCTTCTGGTCTGGGGAAGGTTTACCAAAAGTATCAGCTGATTATCGGTGAAGCCAAGGGCTTGGCCTAGGACACGTGCAGAGGCCCAGGGATGATGGAGCTGGCTGAAATCTGATCTGGGTCGATTTTAGAGTCAAGCTGGAATAAAGTGTTGGATCCAAAGTATACAGTGACTTAGCTTCGATCACTGTGGAGTTCACCAGCCAGTGTCAGGTCAAGTATCTGAGAAGAATATGTTAAGACACAAGCAAACATTGTTGCTTTAGATCAAAAATGAATCAAATAGAGTTAGGAGAGGCTTAGTGTTTCTGAGGAATCCTGCTCAGTTTTAAATCTGAACTTTTACTGCAAAATCGTTCCCATGAATCATACTTTTATTAAGATGTAACAAAACATTAATATAAAAATGGGAAAACAATCACACTTTATAAATGATTGCTATGTTAATATTTAATGAACTGCAATTCAATTATAAGAATACATAAAAAATATGAAATTAGTAACTTAAGATTTCAAATTACTACAAAAACAACATCAATTTGAAAATGAAATCAGTTCAATGATGAACTGAAGGAGCTTTTAATTATAGTTTCGAAAAAGTTGGGATGGATACACATGGATACACAGAATTTTAATAATGTCAGTCTTATTTATGAGAAATTTTCTTTCCTTTTCCTGCTTCTGTTTTTTTTCCTGTCAAGTATCAAACTTTCTATGAAATGTTGACTATTACTATGACCAGGTCCATTAGACCGAGATTAATGAGTAACTTTGTGATTGCACAGGTCTAAAGAGAATTTCTTTGGTTGGATCTGTACAGTGAGGTGAATATTATTTTGTATATGAAATGAGACAAAAGTCATTTTGGAGTGAACTCAGTCCTATGCAGAACTCTCTATCAGCTCTGTGCACTAAATGTTTTTCTCTACACAAATTGGTGGTCAGTTGTTTTCCAATTTCTGCAGGAAAAAGTAAAAACTAAACTTTTGCTCAGTATCTCAGTATAAAATGTCCAGTTCCAGTAAACTTTTTATGTCGCCTCTGCCCCATGGTTCACAATACATATATATACAGTATATGTTCAAATAATAACACTCAATGTGATTTTTTAAAAAACCTTAAACTTTTTAGTTTTGTAATAAAACTATAATATCTACTATAGAGTGTGACATAAGCAGCAGAGTAGTACAGAACAACACAGAAGTGCAACAGACAAGGTCACATCACTGGACGTGTGCCTCGGATTGATTAACAGACACAACAGCACATCTGAGCAGCCCTAACACACTCACAGACTGTGGTCTATCTGCATAAATAAGGAGTGACAGGAGAAACAGTGTTTGGTACTTAGCAGACAGGTGTATGTGTCAGGAGCTCTAGGTTAAAACAGCAGGTCTGACAGACACGCTGGAAACCACACGGACTGATCCTGGGACAGGTGGATGTTCCTACAGTACACGGTGATAAAAGTGCAGATAGACAAGCACGGGGGGAACAGGCCGCCGTGACAGTACCAGGGTGAGTATGCAGAGCACGCGTGCGCTTAAGAAGTAAATGACATATACTGTCATTTGGATGGGGCTTTGCAGAGTTGGAGGCAATTAGAGCGGTTAGCCAGGCATGAAGAGGTAACATTTAGATAGTTATGTGTCAGGGAAAAAAGCATTTTGTTACCCTAGATAAGAAAGTGTGGAAAAGAAACCTCTGAGTTTTCAAATTATTCCTACATATGCAAGAATGTCAATGCCATCAAGTTTCCATGTGGAATCAAACCTGCAGTCATAGTAAGACCTGCTATGGTGAATGATTTGAAGATATGGTTTTAAAGACAGGGGAGACAGCTAGTCGCAAATATCAGCTTGAAGGTCAGGTCTGAAATTGTAAGAAGAAGAGTCCTGCAAACCAGATCTTCTGGCAGCTGTTAATCATGGAGTCTTTGTAGGTTCTCAGTCATCAAGGTAATTTGATCCTACAAAGTTTAGAAGTAGATTACTGGACTGACTCTGTTTCTTGAAGATGTTTCACATTTGATCTAAGAAACGTTGTCAGTTCTAACTGCCTGCTGGGAAATGTTGGTGTATAGTTCTTTATGTGCACTCACACTGGGGTCACTTTGCCCCCTAATGTATAGATTGTATCAACGCCTCGACCCACTGATGGGATGTTGGGCTCAGCTTGGTCAAGGTGTGAAGGAGGTTGTGGGAGTCATGTGTGTTGGTCACAGCTGAGACACAGAGTCTGTCTGTGTTTTTGTTTATGAGGGTGGAGTTTTTGTCTATTTAGACATTCAGCCACTTTGAGGTTTTACACCATGATTTTCCAAAAGTCTGTTGGGACTGGAGAGGCCTCTTAGTTCAGAGATGAAACAAGAAACAAAGTAAGCCCTGTTGAAATTGTTTCCCCAAAAACAGGTTAATGCATAATCTTTGTCATCCTTGAAATTCTTGAGTTCCATGTTCCATGTTCCAGCTCTTCAGATCCCAGCACTAGAACTGAAACCATGTTCAATCATTACAATTGTGAACTCTCAGGCAGAGAAAGCTGCTGTAAAGAAGCAGAGTCTCAGTTGAGAGGTTAAAAAAAACATAATTTGACCATTCACATACAGTTACATACTTCTAATCCTTTAGGAAAAGAAGAAGATATGGATGACGGACAACACTTTGGTTGCCGTCACTGTTCTGTGTTTCAGATCTGGCTTCTCATCTGAGCAGAAAGGTCCAACTGTTGCTGTTTGACTCTGAAATCGCGTAGTCCTGCCTGAGGTAATGACTGTAGTTTCTGATTCTTCCTGTCTTTTTATCTGAAACAAGCATGGCCAGAGGCAGTGTCTGTTCTGGTTGTGTCTGTCCATTTATCCCTGTTCCTGTGAGCGCTTTATTTTCAGAAATTCTACAGGGAATTACCTTCATATCCGACACACTTGGACTACATGATGAAATAATCAAAATACAGTCCTCAGTGGTCAAGGTCAGTGAAAGAAACTTTGATTGTCGCTCCACTCATCACTTTGATTATGGCACAATCATCTGATAAAGAAGTATCAGAGTTGATTTTCCAAGGTTTTGTGGGTTTCCATTGCTGTGATTTAACAACCTGTACATTTTTTTTTCTGTAATCTGCATGACGTTCAGTCACATAAACAATTTTGCGATTTGGATCAAATTATAGGAGAAAAGAAAAAAATGTGCAGGGTTTTAACAACTTGTACAAAAGGGAGAAGCTGCTGAACAGTCTTAGGTCACGGTTGTCGTCACTTGCTCTTCATGACACACCAAACATGTTTAATAGGAGACAGAGCTTGACTGCAGGAAGACCAGTCAACGTCTCTGGAAGAATCATTGTAGTGATAATTGCGCCTCGAATTTTCACTTTTAAAAACTACCATGGCAAAGTTCTTCTTTTTGTTTAATTGATTTTAATTGGTGTTTTACTATGTCCTACTTAATTTTGCCGTATTTTGCTTACACTGCAATGACATAGGTAGTTATTGTGTTTTATTTTGAAGGTCTGCGGATGTACTGATAGGGTTTAAGGTTTTAGGTTGAACTTGATTGATCCCACATTGGGGGAATTATTGAAACAACGTGTCGTTTCCGGTCTGGTGCAATCTGATCTGTCTGACTTGCTACGTGTACAGTGCTCTGTAATACATCGAGCCGCAATTAGGACGCAGCCGGTGGAGTATCGCCCATTAATTATAATGGTAGCTTAATGCAACGGTTACCGCGATGCAGCTGTATCGCACCACTGACGCAAATAATGGGGGTGTATGCCGGCCCTTCCAGGGGAACTGTATTGGTGTGACCCCCAGTGGAAGTGAGTTTGACACCACGTGCCAATCCAGCGACCTGGTAGATCTGTCACGAGCTTCCACCACAACCAGCTGGGCGTCTGTTGGTGAGTGTGGCATTATTTTTCTTCTACTGCAATTCAGCGTCTCATTGATTTCATGTGTGGCTTATTAGAGTGCATCAACAGTGGAACAAGATTTACTGTTAGCTTTCTGTTCCGTTGTGTTACCTGTAGTTTAATCAAACACCTGAAGACACGCTTTAGCACTGAATGCTGTGAAGTGAGGTTTACTTTTTAGTTGAGACTTATTTACCACCATTTTCGTGTTTTGTTTTTTGATCCATCGAGATAATGCTTCTTTGTTTAAGTGATGCACTTTCTGCTCAGCTGGTTGTGTGGACTATGCAGAAATACTGTATATTATCCAATTTCAAGTTATTTTGCTTGGTTTTCTCAAAATATTGTCCAAGGTAATGAAATTGTCAGTTAAAGGACTTTTGGTCAAATTAAAATTTCTGTTTGGTTTAATAAAAGCCTTTGGTTATTGAGGAAAAAAAGTAAACCTGGCTGTTGTTTCCTACTTGGTGAGTAAAGCAGTATTGTTGACAGTAATTGGTGTCATTAATCGGTACCAGTGAGTACATAAATGGTAATACTCCTTTGAAATTCAATGTGTGATAGTGGGATAATCAGAATATATCAAGTAGACCTGTCAGTTTCTACTTTGGTGCCCTCCATACTTAACACTAGTACAACTTAACCAGCTAATACA